TTACAAAGTTTTTTCCCATTTATCTTAATTTTGAGATGTTGATCTAATTTTTTGTGACGACTTTTAAATAATATTAGATTAGTTTTTTTAGAGTTAAGGGATATTTTGTTGGCATTTTGTTGCAAAGTTTTTTAAGATCATAGTTAACATATTTGTTGATTCTTTTTATAGACCTATTAAAATAGAGAAGGTTTGTGTCATCCCCAAAGTGTTGGACTCTACAAAACTTTAAATCTTTAGACGTGTCATTTATAAAAATAAGAAATAGAAAAGGGCCAAGGACAGATCCCTGAGGAACACCTACTTTGATATTGTTCAAGTCTGAGCTCACTCCACTAATGGATACTAATTGAGTTTTATTAGTATTGAAAGATTTGAACCAAGAGTTTGAAACTCCTCTAATACCATAGTAGGATAGCTTCTAAAGTAGAATGTCTACATCTGCAGTGTCAAATGTCTTTTGAAGGTCGTTAAAAATGCCACATCCAAACATTCCTTCATCCAGAGAATCTTTAATTTTTTCTGTTAGACTTAGTAAAGCAAGTGATGTAAAGTAGTTTGTTCGAAAATCAAATTGTAATTCAAAAACACTTTATTTTCATTAAAGAATTTGTCTAAGCGGTTAAACATTAGCCTTTCAAGAATTTCATCAACGTTAAAGAGAAGGGAAATTGGCCTGTAGTTTGACATTAATAGTTTTAAATCAGTTTTAAAAATAGGTATAACTTTGGCTATTTTTAGGTTTTCTGGGAAAAATACCACTTGAGAACGAGATGGTTGAAATATTAGAAAGAATTCTTGAAAGTTTTTAATAGTTTTAGAATTTTAACTGGCATACTGTTTGTTCCAGAAGCTTTATTTGCGCCTAAGGAGTTGATAATTTTTGAAATTTCATGTTCGTCAGTAGGTTTTATAAAGAAAGATTTTTGAGAAGGATTTGATAAGTAATATGTGAAATGATTTATGGATGAAGGAATTGTTGACTGGACATCCCTACCAATGTTAGTAAAGTAGTTGTTGAAAGCATTACAAATATCAAAGGGGTTTGTTATTGTTTTATTGTTATGTATGATTACATTAGGAGTTTTCTGAGAGTTACTTTTAATATTAATAATGTTTTTGATACCTTTCCAGTTTGCTTTTATATTTTTTATGTTTTCAGTAAAATAATTATCATAGTATTTTTTTTTTTTTTTTTTTTTTTTTTTTTTTTTTTTTTTGCTTTCTTTGAGTTTAGATTGAAGGTTATTATGAAATATTTTATACTCATTATGAAATATGGTTTTATTTGTTTGATTTTTAGACCTAATAAATTTCTTAAAGAGATTATTTTTGTGCGGAATAGATTGTTTGAGTCCTTCTGATATCCATTATGTTAATTTTATGTTTTGTTAGTTAAGTTTTTTTAAAGGCGCATAAATATCGAGCAGTAGATTAGGAAATAGTATTCTCAAGAGACTGAGTAGAGTTATCAGGTTATATTTTTGGTTCTCTGTCTAAACTAATTTTGTAAAGATCGTTTTTAAATGCAACTTCATTAAAACTTTTCCAGTTTTTTTCCTGAATTAAGAGCTTTTTGTTAGGTGGTGGTTTAAAAATATTATAAGCTATCAGAAATTGGGGAAGATGATCTGAGATTGTGGTGATAAGATTACCTGCTTTATATTTATTTGATTTAATATTTGAAAAGATGTTATCAATTAATATTTTTGATGTTTTACAGATACGAGTAGGGTGGACAATGTGAGGTAGAAAGTAATTTGAGGTGAGTGAGTCTAAAAAGTCTCTAGCATATGAATCTGTGTTACACTTTAACAAATCAATGTTGAAATTCCCTAAAATAAATACAGTTTTATTTTCTTTTGTTACGTTTTTGAGTAATAGATTAAAATAGAAGGATATGAAGTTATCTAAAGACATTTTTGGATGTCGGTAAACACAACCAACGATAATATTTGATTTTTTTGGATATATAATTTCAATGAAGATAGATTCTAATTCTTTTGGTTTATAGATGTGGAGATCATTTCTGGGTTTATAGGCGAGCCTGTTATTAATATATAAAAATGCACCACCTGCATGTGATTCAGATGGTGTGTGTTCATAGGAATACCCATTAAGTGTTAAGTTGCTAGTTTGTGGGTATTTTTTATTGGTTTCAGATATACCAATTATGTCAAATTTAAGTTTTGTTGGTTGGAGTAGATTTTCAAGGTCATCAAAATGTTTTGAGAGTGATGAGATATTGATGTGAAAGATATTGAATGAGGATTTGTCAGCTACATTTTAAATCATCAACATAAATATAATAACTGTTTATTGAGATTTTTTCAGTTTTGTTGTTGTTATCAATATGTGTATTAAATGTGTTAAAGATTGAGTGGAGGCTCTCTATTGGAAAATCTGATACTAGACAAGTTTCATTTATTTTAGTTTCAACATTATTCATTGTCAGTTATAGTTTCGTTAATGAAGGGAAATATACTACCTAAGCAATTTATACAAAACCATGAACAATTTTTTGAGGAGCTTCTTAGTAATTGGTAGTCAATATCATTTAGGTTGTTACATTTTAGGTGGACCCAATTGAGGCAGTTATCGCAAAAAATAGCTTTCTGATTTTTATAGACATTAGTTTTGCAAACAGCACATTTGATATTTGTAGTTTTAATTACGGTGAATTGATATGACGATAAGATATATAAGTAAGAATATATATATGAATGCAAGCTATTAAAAATCAAGAAACAGAATAAAGTAAAAGCAATAATCAAAAAAGTAAAATAATAAAAAATAAACGAAAACAGTATATATGTAATAATGTGATAAACATTAACTGTGAGGTAAAACAATTAATTTGTCTTGCTGTTTTTTATGGTTGTTAATTTAAGAGAAATATTAGTAGCTAATATTCGAAACAAATAAAGAATTAAATAAAACAAAGAAAAAAAAAAGTAACAATAAAAAAAAAAAAAAAATAAAAATTACAACAAAAAAAAAATAAAAGTTCGAAAAAGGGTGTTCTTATGTTGCAAATCATAGAGCATTTTTGACTGACCAAAATATCCCATTGAATCACTGAGCACATTTTAAGCTTTATACAAATTTTTTTCCGAAAATAACCTAATTCGACTGGATTATGAATGAACTTATAGAATTTACCAAGCCGACACGGGTTTTAAAGTAAAGGGGGGGGGGCACAATCATCAATTTGTGAAAAAAGTTCTCTATATCAAGATTTTTCTTAAAAAAATAAAAAAAAATAAAAAAAAAAAAACTTCTTTTAGAAAAAAAATGGGGGGGGGGGAAGGGCACGTGCCACCCGGGCCCTCTTGGTGTCGTCGGCCTTGATTAAAATGTATTAGTTAGATGAAGTTGCTTTAAAAAATAAACAACTATTGTATTTAAAACGGACATATTGTTTTTTTTTTTTTTTGGGGGGGGGAGGGGGAGTTTACAATTTTTTATGTGTAATTTTAAGGCCTAAAATTTAAAAAACTTGAATAATTTCTACCAACAGACTTTTTTCTATATTTACTTTATGCAGTTTAAGTTTATGGCAAATTAGCGTCTTGTTAACATAGAATACTGGCTGAGCTAGTACCATCAATCATTACCTTATACTCTCTTAACTTTTATGTTTATCACACGAAATTTACTTTTATTTTTATTATATTAATTTTTAATAAGCCTCGTCTCAGTAGGAATCCATGAAAAAAGGTCAAAACAAAAGGTTTGCAATAGATTTTTAAATTTTGGTTATGTTGCGTTTTTAATAAAAATCAATAGATATAAAAGATAAAGGTCTCATGAGCTCACCGTGTGCTATGAAATAATATTTTGACACTAAAATTAATCTTAAACGAACTTTGTTTTTAATATAAAAGGTAAAGATTGAAGGAGTAATAGTTTTAGTGGAAAAACCATAAATTATTTTAAATAAATTAAATTTACTCCGAGGAAATGAAAAAATTTTGAAATTTTTTATATTAAAAAATAATGAATCCTAAGTTAGCTGAAATAAACTCCTGCTTTGCTGTTGTTGTTGTTCTGACGCTTCAAACATATATATAAAAATTAGATAAACAAAATAATATTTGCACTAAACGTTTAATTACGCTACAACGCAAAACCGATTATCATTGAGAATATAACTTTAACAACAGTTTGATTTACAAATCAAGTTCTTAAGTAGAGTTGTACGGGTTGATTTATAGTGGATGAAGTTTTTCAAGTATAACAGAAGATAAAAAAGCGCTACTACTGATAATAATATACATTTTTATTCATTTTAATTTTTTTCTTTTTAATGAATTAAAAAGTTAATTTTTTACTTTTTAATGAATTAAAAACATGTAGAAGAAAAATGCGTTTATAAAACTTATCGTTAGATTTTTGTCCTATTGTTTTCATTTAAATTTTAATTACATTATTTGTAAATCAAACACAGACTTTGTATTATTTTTTTGCAAGTTCTTATTACTTCCGCAATCTTTTATGTTGTTTTGCAAATGGATGATTCTTAGAATGTTTTAATTATTACATGATGACACTTTTAAATAGTCGCAAGCTACAGTTTGCAAAATAACTATTTTAAAGCTAAATACATATTTTAGTAAACAACAATAAAAATTGCTGTTTACTTGAAGATGAGTGTACTCAATTAAAACCTTATGTAGCGTAGTAAAATTATTAGCATAATATTTTTATAGTAGAACTTTATGATGATCAATACTATTATATATATATATATATATATATATATATATATATATATATATATATATATATATATATATATATATATATATATATCTATATATATATATATGTATACATATATATATATATATATATATACATATATATATATATATATATATATATATATATATATATATATATATATATATATATATATATATATATATATATATATATATATATATATATATATATATATATATTATTCATACTAATTCTCATTTATAATCATTATATTCAGAATATTTATAGAGATAATAAAATGCATATCGAATATGTGTTTAATATGATAGTGGTAGCAACAGCAACGCAACTTACCCTCCAAGATAAAGGTAACAAAGTTTAACTAAAAAAAAATAATTTAAGCAAATTTACACCTATTTTTTTATTATTTTTTTTTCATGCCCGGTTTTTATTTTCATTTTTATCAGTCTCAGTCTGTGACTCAGTCAGTCTGAGTCACAGTCTTTTTTCCATAGTAGTACCACATTCTTTCAATACAACTGTCCAATTGGGACAGGGGTATCTTTTCCTTGTAAAATTGTTTGCTTTCTCATTTAAAAGAAAAAAGCAAAAAAAAAAATACTAATCTTTTTAAGATTTATTCTTTAAACTTTTTATATTATATAATAGTTGAGTTGAGTTTAAATTAGCAAAAAAAAAAACATTTATCAAATTTTTTTATCGTTTTTAATTATCTGTTAAATAAAAATTCTGTCAGCTGTAGTAAAAATTAATCTTTTTCCCCTTCAAAAATAAAAGTTCAAAAAGATAATCTCCGAGTTTATTGAAAGAATGTAGATTTTTTGTGTTAAGATGAATTACAAAAAATCATGAAAAAATTATTTTTTGTTAATCTCTCAGTGAATTCCTAAAGTTTCTTAGTTTAAATTTTTGTCTTTTAAATGAAGGTATACTAGTTCTATAAATGGAACTACTATTACTGGTCTTAGACTCCTTATAAGATGGTCTCAAAGTTGCAGATAGAGCTGCGGACAATGATCCTAGTACACTTTACATATGCCAGATATGGAAATTGCAACTTATAAAACTTTTAACTTTGGGTTTTTCCCAACTTTTTTGTTCTTTTTTAATCTTGTATCTTATAAAATCTAAAGTTTTCCGTACGCGTCTGTGCCTGATTAAGCAATGATTCTGATTCTCTTGATAAATAAACTTAACTGTTCACGGTTCATTGTTAACTGTTCATGGTTCTCTTCTGACTCTACTCAGCCATGAATTTAACAGTTGACGAGGCTTTAAAGGCGATTGCTTTAAAAATTTAATCTAAGAACTGGATTTTTTTAGAAAATATATAATAAAATGACTATACAAATTTTTAAACAAAAAAAAACACATGCTTTTTAATTATCAAAGGTATTTATAAACTAATAAAGGGGTCGTCCATATAGTACGTACGCTCATAGGGGGAGGGGTAATTTTAAATTACGTACGTACTAATTAAAGAAATTCTTAACGTTCTTTTTTCTTAATTATTACAACAAGTACTTGTTAATATTTTTGAATAATTAACTAAGTATTTTTGAATAATTGACAACTTAAAAAAAAAATTAAACCATACCCAGCTAGCACACATACTTTGTTAAAACAATCTCGCGCGTTTCGTTGGCCCAACATCGGCTGCCAACGTTGTTTTTATATCATTAAGGTTACACATACGACATCGCCAACAACTAAAAACCGATGTCGATAAAACGTTCATTTAAAGTTGATTCGATGTTTTATTTAATACATTGGCCCAACGTTGTATTTTAAGTTGGCAAAACGTTGTATTTACGTTGATTCAGCGTTGAGCTTTAACTAGCAAAACGTTGTATTCAATATTATTCGGAATAAAGTTTTCATTAAATTATATTTTCTTTATATATATGCAGGCCTTGTTTTAAATAAAAAAGTGCTTAATGCGATTTTGACGTTTAATGCGATACCTTAACGCGATTTTGACGTCGTAAAATTTTATTATAATATTTTTTTTATATAGACGTTAAGTGTTTTAACTACCGGAATTAATAAATAACCGCTAACAAGTTCAATTTAACAATTAACTGAAATAACTATAAACGTTTTAATGTAAATTTATTATGAAAAGTTTGTAATGCTTTCAATTGTTATTTTATTATTAATTTTAGTTCAATATTATTTGTAAAAAAATATATATATATATTTTTTAATTATTTCTGAAATTTGTTTTTGAATAATTATTGTTTATAAATCGTTATTAAATAAAAAATAATAATTTTTATTTTTTTAAACAACTGTTTAGAACGCGTTCGCAAGGAATTTAATTCATAATTTTTTTATGTTATTGTAAAAATGTTTTACATTTTAAGCAAATCACAAAGAAACAGAGCTATAGAGAAAAATCTTTTTTAACAATTAAATCTTTTTTTTTTAAATTTTATGAAATAAAAAAAAACTTAAATTAAATATAAAAAGTCTTAATTATGCAAATTCTCTGTTAATTTTGTTAATTTTGTTAATTTGTTAATCAAAAACTTTTGTTAAAACAAAAAACAAATACTTCTACGCAAAACTTTAATCGTGCAAACTTAAAAAAATACTCAACTAAAATAATATAAGTATATTTAATAATTTGAATCGTATCTGTTTATAATAAACGTTCGTAAAATTTGTTTATTAAAAATTAAGTTCCTTAAACTTAAACAAACTCAAAAGTATTTTCATTCTACGTATAATTACAAAACTCTTTTTTTTTTTTTCGTTTGTAAGCAATTTAACTTAATAAAATAAAAAAAGAATAGATATGAGATAATCTTTGTTTAAAACAAATTTAATTTATTTATTGAACTACATTTTTATTTTTATTTATATCAACTTAATTAAAATATAGTGACATGTTAAAATATTTTAACATGACTTGTGTTATTTATAAATCTTAGGGCAGCTGCCTATACGGCTCCATTGTTTTTGGATAATATTTTATTTTGATGAAGATCACATAACTTTCATTTGATTTTAATACCGTAAGTCTTCTCTTTTACTGTGATCATTGCATCGGCAAAGCATCGGCAAAGTCCCAAGATTTAAAAGTTTTTAAAGTAAATTTTTTGTCCTTCAAAATACAATCCATATTCGAACTTTAAACAATTTAGAGAGAATAGAAATATACAAGGTTTTTATATTCTAGTTTGTCTTGTTTTATAAAAAAAAATACATATTCATTAGTAAAAAATAGAGACTGTCATTAAACTAAAACGTGCTTTAGCATTTATTTAACGGAATCTGTATTGTGCGCGTGCATAATGAAACCTCCGTAATATAAATATATTCAACGTAATATTAGTGTCATCAGCGGATGTTATAGTCTACTCATGATTTCTTTACCTTATAATATAACTTGATTTATGAAAAAAACATGCAGAAGAAATTTAACAAATTGTCTTCATTCAAAAATTGCGAGTAACAGGTAATTTTTTTTTCTGTGCCGGCCCCCTTCCCCCGCATAACTTAAAGGTAAAGGTATCTATATACCTTTAACTAATAAGAAAAGCAAAGAGTAATAATTAATGTAGTAATTTTTAGAAAAATGCAAATAGATTGTTGATTCATTGGCACATTTTTTTTAATATCTCGAAAAAATGTCTTGATATTTTTGTTATCACGATAACAAAAATATGACGTTTTTTGAAATAAGACATTTTTGGAGATATTAAAAAAATGTCAACCTTAATTACAAATTTTTTTTCAAATATTTTTTATTATAAATTCAGTAAAAACTCTTAAAAAGTCTATATTACAAAAAACATTTATATTCTGTATTAATAAATATGGAATATAGATTTTTTTAAAGTTTTTTACTAAAAAATTTAAAAAAATACTACTTTTTATTAAAAACATAGCAAAAATTTGTAGTTTAAAAGTTTATGTGGTTTTTTTGAAAATTAACTACTTCTTTTATGTTACCGCTAATTTAAAAGTTAAAAAATGATAAAAAGTAACTTAACCAAATCTACGCGTACGTAAATCGCTCTAGGCGTAACGCTTTAAAACAAGGCCTTTAATATTGTCCAAAATTGTTTGGTAACAGTTGCAGTCACAATTAAATCTTCCATATAATAAATGACAGGTTTAGCCACAACACAGTTTATAATACTATGAGGAGCAACAGCTTGAATTGCTTTTGCTATGTTTGTTAAATTTAAATGCTTCAAATCATAGTTTACTAATGGGTTGTAACTATGCTTTTCATTTGATACTAGGGAACGCTTTTTTCTTCCACGCTGACCAAATCCATCACGATTAAATTTTAAGTCGCATATTTTTGTTGGTTCTACTAGGCTGCGGTTTGGAAGTCACTCAAATTTTAAACTACTACAACTACTACAACTGAATATATATATATATATATATATATATATATATATATATATATATATATATATATATATATATATATATATATATATATATATATATATATATTTAAAAATAACACGATGTTTTTTTATTCTTGACATGTTTCGTAAAATTTTATTTATATTTTCAAAAGATTATTTTACAATAATAAAACTCTGAAATAAATATTAAAAAATAGAAGTCTTAACGGACAAAAATTCGCATAATAAACCAATATATCTATTAGAAAATAACTCGGTAAATAACCAAACATAATAACTAACTTTCAAAAAAATAATAACAATGATAATAAACTGACAGTAAAATTTATTAGATAAGTTAATAGCATATAGTGAAGTTCTTCGGAATAATGAGAACAATGTTATTACACGACCCGACAAAGGAAATGGTATAACTGTTTTTAAAAAAGTTGATTATATAAATTCATTACATAATATTATAAATAATAAGACTAAGTTTAGAGAATTAAAAGAGGATCCAACTATAAAAAGAGAAATATCTTTACAAGGGTATCTTAGAAAACTTTATAAGCTTAAATGTTTTGAATAAGACATTTACACTAAAATCTATCTTGTAGGATCTAAACCTGCAAGAATTTACGCATTGCCTGAGATGCATAAAGATAGTAAAGATAGTTCTCTTCCAAAATTTCGACCTATCATCTCATCAATCGGAACATATAATTACAATCTTGCCAAACATCTTTCTCAATTATTGTCTCCTCGTATACCTAAACAGTTTTGCACTTTAGACTCATTTTCATTTGTTGAAGAATTAAAACAAATTAATGTAACTAATAAATTTATCGCTTCATATGATATTGAAAGTTTGTTTACGAATATTCCATGTAAGGAAACCATTAACATAACAACTGATTTATTTTTTAAAGATAAAATTAACTCAAAACGTTTTTCAAAAATTCATTCTAAAAAAT